CCATGTCACCAACCACGTGTCACCACCACCCCCCATCACCATACCCATGTGCCCCCCACTGTGTCACCACCACCCTTGTGTGCGTTTTGTGTGCACGCAGATACACGTATGACATGCACGCAGGCGTGTGTTGTGTGTGCACAATGTGTGTTCCACATCCACGCAGGCATGCACACGCAGCTACACGTATGTCACACACGCAGCCATATGTTGTGTGTGCACAGGGCGTGTGTTCCACATCCATGCAGGCATGCACCGCATGTGCATGCACCTACACGTATGACACGCACGCAGGCATGTGTTGTGTGTGCACAATGTGTGTATTCCACGTCCACGCAGGCGTGCACACGCAGCTACACGTATGTCACACACGCAGCCATCTGTTGTGTGTGCACAGGGCGTGTATTCCACATCCATGCAGGCGTGCATCACGTGTGCATGCAGTTACACATATGTCATGTGTGCAGGCATGTGTTGTGTGTGTTCCATGTCCACGCAGGCGTGTGTTGTGTGTGCACAATGTGTGTTCCGCGTCCACGCAGGCGTGTGCACGCAGATACACGTATGTCGTGCACGCAGGTGTGTGTTGTGTGTGCACAATGTGTGTCTTCCACATCCACGCAGGCGTGCACACGCAGCTACACGTATGTTGTGCACACAGCCATCTGTTGTGTGTGCACAGGGCGTGTGTTCCACATCCATGCAGGCATGCACCGCATGTGCATGCACCTACACGTATGACATGCACGCAGGCATGTGTTGTGTGTGCACAATGTGTGTATTCCACGTCCACGCAGGCGTGCACACGCAGCTACACGTATGTCACACACGCAGCCATCTGTTGTGTGTGCACAGGGCGTGTATTCCACATCCATGCAGGCGTGCATCACGTGTGCATGCAGTTACACATATGTCATGTGTGCAGGCATGTGTTGTGTGTGTTCCATGTCCACGCAGGCGTGTGTTGTGTGTGCACAATGTGTGTTCCACGTCCACGCAGGCGTGTGCACGCAGATACACGTATGTCGTGCACGCAGGTGTGTGTTGTGTGTGCACAATGTGTGTCTTCCACATCCACGCAGGCGTGCACACGCAGCTACACGTATGTTGTGCACACAGCCATCTGTTGTGTGTGCACAGGGCGTGTGTTCCACATCCATGCAGGCATGCACCGCATGTGCATGCACCTACACGTATGACACGCACGCAGGCATGTGTTGTGTGTGCACAATGTGTGTATTCCACGTCCACGCAGGCGTGCACACGCAGCTACACGTATGTTGTGCACACAGCCATCTGTTGTGTGGGCACAAGGCCTTGTGCTCCACGTCCACGCAAGTGTGTGCACCCCGAT